AGTTTCTGCACAGCACAGCAAATCAACAAAGTAAAAGAGAGAGTTTACAGAATGGAGGAAAACACCAGCTGTTCATCTGAACAAAGGGTAATATCCAGAACATACAAGGAGATCAAAAAATTTAATTAAAATGGGCAGAGTTTTCAATAGATATTTCCAAAAAGATATATAATGACCAATAAATAGGCGAGAGGAAGGATCAGTGTCATTAGGCATCAGAGAAATACAAATCAAAGCTACAGCGAGCTTCTACCTCGTTCCGCTTAGAATGACTGTTACCAAGGGTACATACACCAGTAATAATAAAACACCGTAGCGAGGATGTGGAGAAAAGGAACTCATACACTATTGGAGGGGATGGAAATTAGTGAACCTGTTATGGAGAACATGGGATTACCGCAGAAAAATAAAACTCAACATACAATATGATCCAGCTATCCTACGCCAGTATATAACTCAAGGAAATGACATCAGCACATCAGAGAGACCCCTGCAGTCTACGTTTACTGTGGCCATGTTCGCCGTAGCTAAGACACTGTGTCAGCTTGGACCCATCAGCAGATGAACGGATAAAATTATATCCAATATGCATCCAACAGCATAGCATTCGGCCACAACACAGCATGGAATGTCGCCAGTTACAGAAAGGGAATGTGGTGGAGGAAGTTATACTATACAGAAAGACAAGACCTACACATTCTGTCTCCTGTGGAAGCTAAAAACAGAATTGACCTGGAAATAGAAATTACTAGAATCTGAGGAGAGCAAGAGTAGTGGGGTAGAGAGGGTTTGGGGATGAGATAAATGCCTGTTAGTCTAAGTTGTGTGAAGGGTGAGAATAGCGTACTGAATGTCATTAATATGTGACGTTAACACACAGTAAGAAAAAATTTAATTCAAATTAATGCCAATGCTATCAAATGCTGAAGGGAAAAAGAAAATTAATGCTGTAAGTACTATGTTGAGAAAAAGAAGATCACAAAACAAATCTGGAAATGTGTACATATACTCAGAATATGCTAATTTATGTCTTTGGGTGGGGTGGGGGTGGGCTTCACAGCTGCTAAGTGCACATTCTAATACTGAGCTACACCTCCAGCCCCCAGTATAGAAAAAAGAGAAATAGTAAAACAAAACTCTTATATTTCGCAATCGTACTGTGGTATCGACGTGGACAAATTCCAAGGCTGGTAAGCTCTCCTCCTGGATTTCAAGCCTGTGTTAACTCCCTTCCCCTGTGGCTTGGGTATGGGCGTGATTGGATTCTAACTAGAACATGGTGCGATGTATGACCAAGCTCCTGGAGACTGTGTAACATGTTTTGCCTGCCTCCCTCCCTCGCTGGCTTTGAAGGCTCAAACTGTCATGTCTTGGACCACTGCAGTGACACAGATGGCAAAGAACCAAGAAGAGCTGTCGGGGCCCACAGCAAAATCCAAAGCCTTCAGTCCCCAGGAGCTAGCTCAGTTCTGCCAGCAAAAGTAGGTTATTCCTCTGGCAAGCCTTGAAGGAGACAACGTTCCCCAGCCGGTGCTAATACATGGAGTGTAGGCATTGGTATTTGGAAATTATTCCTTGTGCATACAACTATATTAGCTTTCTACTGCTGTGATAAAAATGCCAACCAAAACCAACTTGAGGAGGAAAGGATTTATTCTATCTTACATCTCCTTGGTCATAGTTCGTCACTGAGGGAGGCCAAGGTAGGAATTCAGGGCAGGAACCTGGAGGCAGGAGCTGGAGCACAGGCCATGGAGGAAAGCTGCTTACTGGCTTGCTCCCCTGGCCCCTGCTCAGCCTGCTTTCTTATGCAACACAGGCCCACCTGCCCAGGGGTGGCACCACCCACAGTGGGCTGGGCCCTCCCACATCACCATCAAGAAGATGCCCCATGGACATGGACACAGGCCAGTCCAATAGAGGCAATTTGCACTCAAGGCTCCCTCTACCCAGGTGAGTCAAGTTGACACTAAAACTATCCAGCACAAACACCAAGCGAGATTTTGTTTCTGGGGCGCTGGGGCTCTCCTGGGGCCGGTGCTCGGCAGGCAGCCAGGCTACGACTAAGTTCCATTTTCAGCCATATGTGTTCTTCAGTCTGGCTATGCTACCCAGGTTGGCCTTAAACTTGAGATCCTCAGGTCGCTGCCTCCTGAGCGCTGGGCCTGCAGGCATGTGTCACCACACCTGACTGAAATGAGCTCTATATTGAGGGCCAATGACACGCTGAATAGTAGGCCTTTTTTTTTTTTTTTTTTTTTTTTTTTTTTTTTTTTGAGACAGGGTCTCCTTGTAGCCCCAGCTGTCCTGGAACTCACTATGTAGAC